TGAGTGCTCCAACACTGGAGGCATTCAAGAAACTTAGACAACCACCTGGCAGATATCCTTCGATTTGTATTTCTGCATAGAGCAGGGGGTTGGATATAGGCCTCTTCCAAATTCACTATTCTCTGATTCTATTTATACAAAGAGTAGCACTAAGTAACAAGTGTTTTCGTTTCTAGAGTAATTGGTGTAAATGCTTCTAAACAACTTTAGAAGTAAATCTATTTCCATGCATCAGTTCAAGATAACAGCCTCTGTGTTTTAAGTCCCAACAAAGTTACCAAAATCAGTGTCTGGGAGAGTTAGTATCATTAACGTACTGCCATCTGAGATGATTTTATGTATCAGCGAGTTTTGAAATGATTCTGATACTCCATCTTTGATACAGTATTTAAAAAAAGCTTCAGTTTCTACTGTTAGTATCATGGTGGGGAACATGTGGCCCTCCAGATGTTGTTGGACTGAAACTCTGTTGATTCCTTTCCTTTGAACAGATTGCCTAGCCTTATATATCTCCCTTACCTTGAAAGTCCTATTAGGGTTGCTATAAAGTCAGTTCCCACTTGACAACACAAAACACAAACACAATGGAAGTCAAGCAAAAATATCCTAAAGGCCACACTTTCCTCATTCCTTGTTTACATCTGAATGTCTGGTTCTGCTAGGGATGTAAATCTGCTGACCCTGGAAAGGCTCACCGACATGGAAAACGGAACTACCTGACATTGATCAATACATTTTCTCATTACAATCACACCACCTTCCTCAGACAGTAAAAATAGCAGTGATAATATTCACCCACCAGAAAACATCCCAAACCCTAAATGTTTCCACTTATTGACAAAACACTTTCTATTGACGTAGGCTGGCTGCTGGGTGGAAGGCAGCTGCTTCCTCTTCCAGCTGTGAGCAGAGTGAGAAGGGGGCTAGCTGCTCAGCTCTCAGCATTCCTTTAGGTGACCTCACTTCCTAGTTCAAAGAAGATGGCATCGCATCAATGGTAAAGAGAAGGAATTCTGAACTACAAACTTCAGAATCTGGAAAATCTGAGGATTCCAAGTTCCCATAGCTGAGAAAAGGTGTCCATTTATTGCTGTTGCACAATAATAGGAAATAAATGTACAGGAGAAATGGAAGGCAATCACAGCATTAAGGAGAACCGTACAACCTGAGCATTTGAAGCTTGACGATCAACTTTGCAAACAGACATTCAGTAATGGAACAAGCAGAAGGAAATCAAAGGTATAGCCCTGTATACACTTTTACTCTGTATCTCAATGCTTTTGTACAGGGAATTAACAATAAACAGTAATGCCGGACATTTTTGCACAGATGGCCCTAGAAAACGCACTGCAGTCTTCCTTCTTCCATAAAATTATGAAACCCAGACACAGTCTTAAGGGGAAGGGGATATGAAGATGGTCACAGTATAAGGATCCGAAACAATGGGTATTGATGATTAGATGATCTGCAGTACCATCATCCCATCTACACTAGACATTGTGCAGATGTACTGTGAACTGCAGCTCTTCAGAAATTACACAGAATTGTTTTAATTATTAGGCAAGTGTGTATACAACCTTCCTGTGTTTATTTAACCCTGAAGAATAAACACAATTGCTATGGACTCTAGCAGCCATTTGAAATTTTGGGAACAGTATTTTTTGTAGCCAATATGAACCACTTTATGATCAATTACAAATAACAGGGCCCTTTGTTCTGGAATTTTATTCTTCCTTTCACCAACATTTCAAGAATAAAAAATTTAAAATTTCCTTAGCTATCAAATGCCTGCTTTACCTCTATGGAAATAAATGGAAAAGTACAAAATGCTTAACTAATCCATGAGTCTCTCTTTTCTCTTCCAAGATTTTCTGATAGTCCACAAGAGAAGCTGAAATATGGTGAAGCACGATGCACTCCACCACTTTCTAAGGAAGGGAAAGGGCAGGCTTCACACTTCCAAGCGCTCCTTTGTTTTCTACTGAAACCCCCAAACCTGACAACTACAGCTTTCTACAAAAAGCATGTAATTAGAATTAGGGAATTCAAAGTATTAGAATTTAGCTTGTCTCATAATCCTTCCATACAAAAATCCTGCTTAGCGTCTCTCTGTAGTGTAGGATAGAAGGACAGACTACGACTCTGAAGAACAGGGTTTGAATCCCCACTCAGCCAAGGAAACTCACTGAGGAGTGAAACTAATAAAAATGCTCTTTCAATGTCTCACTTTACTTGAAAGCCCTATTAGAGTTCCTGTCAGTTGGTTCTGACTTTAATTCTCAGAACACACACGTACACAAGCTTTCTTTCATTTCAGGAGCATCCTAGGTGGGGCTCCCAGGCCCCTGATGGGCAAGGGGGAAGGATGACAGATTCCTGTGAGGGAGGCAACTGATGAGGGCCACCTGTGAGGGAAAGAGGAAGCTGTGAAGGTAGCATAGAGGAGGAAGATTGGGAGGGAAATGAGAGATGCAGACTTTGGAGAAGGATGTGGGGAGGGGCCATTGAGGCTTGGGAGCCGCAATTCCGTACCTTGGCTGAGGTGGAAAGCAACTAGGTAGAAGAGCCCCAGGCTGATGTCACTGAGACACCATTTGGATATAAAAAGGGACCATGGATGGGATACCCCTGTGCCAGGACTCCAGAACCCCACCACACTTCCAACATGGTGCCCATATAATCCAACAGGAGTAGTGGCACCCACTCCAACTCAGCTGTGGTGCTGGTGACAGAAGTGCCAGCGCAAGAAACAGGGGAAGCTCCAGGAGCAAAGAAGCAAGCACCAGTATCTTTCAGTTGTCCTCAAAAAGGGTCTTCAACTAAGCCTGTGACTCTGTCTCCCCTCCCACCTTTTCGAGAGCATGGCTATCAGGGCAGCCTGTGGCCTTGACAGGAAACACTCTTGAAAGAACATCCCCTGGGGGTTAGTGCAGGGACCCCAACCCTCTAGGAAGCTCATGGGGGTGCTGGCGCAGTGTTCCTGTCTCTGTTTGTTCTTTTGCAATAAAGTCTGTTCTTGGTTATTCTCACAACCTGGAGCCCATGGCGTTTTTGCTGGGAAACTGTTATAACCAAACTGTGTATGGTTCACGAGCTGCACAGTGGCAGAGAAAAAGGCAATTCAAGGGGTGATCACGGGTGCTGGGACAGTGTTCCTGTCTCTGTTTGTTCTTCTTTTGCAATAAAGTCTGTACTTGGTTATTCTCACAACCTGGAGCCCATGGCGTTTTTGCTGGGAAACTGTTATAAAACAATTAATGTTAAAAATACTTGTTCACTTGCTTGTCCACCCACAGATATACCAGTAGATACCAACCTGGCTTCTACATAGCCCTGTGTGGGACTAGAGATGGGAGCTTGCCCGCTTACCAGGCTCCATATGCTGCTGGGGTCCTTTTTTGGCAGCAGAGCTCCAATCCAGGCAGGAGTCCAGCCAGGCTTTCTCTACCTCCTCAGGCAGCCAACCACTCTGACGAGGAGTAAGTGCAGAGTGTCTCCCTGTACGGCCAATAAGTGCTTGGCTGCC